CGGATACGTAGAGGCGTAGACGACGATGCCGAATTTTCCAAGTTGTTTGAACACTTGATGCATCTATTTAATTATATATTCTGATACGATACATATCCGTTTATACGCGCACTAAAGCAACGCGAAGTTAAAACTCAAGAGTTTATGTGCTGCATTTTGTAGAAATAAACATGGACGTCAGTCCGTCTTTGTTATGTAAACAAAAAAATACGCGTTTTTGCCGAATCCTTCACGGGAAGTGCTTTATCACGTCAATCGGAAAGGCGGGTGACGATTTCAGCATTGGTGCTTTAACTATGTTGCTAGTCAGTCGCTTTCGCTGAGGGCGGTCCCCTCGACTTCCCATAGAAAAAAGTTCTCTTTTATTGTTTTGCCCACGAGAAGGGTTTAGGATACACGTTTCAAAAATAGTTTAGTTATTCTCCGATTCTCTTTTTTTGCGTCGGCACGAGCTAAAATCGATTTTTGGCTGGGCCACCCGTGTGGACGGCGATCGTAAGTGTAAATTTCACAAAGTTTCTCGAGCGCGCTGCGACTGCAATGATACGGGTCACTTAATTCTCTCTTGCTACAAGTTATAAGATGTAGATTGTCAGTTCACAGACACAATATGGAAACTTTAACTGAAAGCTTTTTCATACCAGCGTGATCAGAGGAGACCCCTCCCTTCGACCTTAATACGTAAAAAAGAGTTCTCAAAATGCAGGCGTAAATGGGGCTAAAAACGCATAATTGATCGCCTTAAACCCGCGGGCATCTTTAGCTTTCATCCACCAACGTTTTGAAAACGACGCAAATCAATGTGTTTGCTCAATTGCGCTCGTGTCATACCTCATTTGCATAACTCTGAAAATTGATAGAGATATCCTTTGGACCATTCAAACTTCGTTTGTTTATCTGCCACGTTGATAATTTCAGGTTTTCATAACAATTGAATGGAAAATAGATATCGAGTTGTACTAAAACGTTGCATAAACGTGATCAGTCGTATCCGGCTTTCATGACGACGGAACTGCTGTTAGCGAGAGCGGCACTCAAATCAGTTTCCTCTATTTCTGAGAATTCCTTAGCAATCACAGAAGGTTTTTCTCAGATCCGCAAAAAGGTTTAAGAGGTGAAAGGTGAACTGAATGTTTGCAGAAATCAGTAGACAAATAGATTAGAGTCGCGGGTTGTTGCAAAGAGCGGACGCTTTGTGTCCTGAATCAACATTTCGAGAACTACCCGTTCATTGTTTCTGACTCATTCAATTCAACCATTTGAATACACCATGAAAAATTTTTTGCATGTTTCGCTTGTCGTTTCGGTAAATTCTTTGCACGAACAAGCTCTAAACTTCCCTCAGTCTTTGTTCTCGATGGAACTAACATATGAAAATCAACTTCTCGTCCTCAATATCTCACGCACAATTAGGTTTTCATAAGATTTCCGCTAAGATTAACTTGTCGGACAAACGTGTCGAACGTAATTTATCTCTTTACTATTCTTCCAAGTAAGAGGTATTATTCTGTTTTCCCAGTAGCAGTGCTCAGGAGGTCCATTAGTTTGGCAAGAGTTTTACCGCCGCGTAAATTCATGGATCATGTTTCGTTGATTACCTAGACTAAAAATATCGACTTTTACTTTTTCTAGTATGTATTCGTAACATGAGAAAAGGAACTATAGCATTATCCCAGCTGATTCAATTGAAATGAGGTTCCTGATTCCGCATTCGTAACAATGATATACGTTTTTTTCTTATCCTATAAGCTAAAGAGTACGGAAAATGCTTTAACGTCTAAGTCAGAAAATTCTTTCTCGTACACTGTTCCGACATCTTCCTCTCTTTCCAAGAATTCCTAGTAATTACAAAGATCTTTCCATGAAGGGAGATGAAAGGTGACCACTCCCCCAGGCAGATGGTAGAATTTCAGCAGTTCTCTGGTCTTTTGCCATAAAGCTTAACCGTTGTGTTAACTCCCATGAAAAACATACGAGGGTCTTTATCAAGGTTTTCATGTGCTGGCGGTATCATTTATATACTTTCTTTTCCAATGCAGCTAAAACACAGAATATCCCTCCTAACAGGCCATCGGTCACGTACAGAGCTAGCAGATATCATGACACTTTGTTCAACTCTCCGATAAATAAATAAAACAGCACGCAATTTGCTTAGAATTAGTCTCTACGCGGTAGGGAAAACTTCAAACACAAGGTATGACTTGTTAAATGCTATATCGCTTGAAATCGCTTTAAACCCTAGAGAACTTCATAAACCTTAGAAGACTTAAGTAGCCTGAGTTAAGAAACTGGGTGCAGTAAGAACTAAAAGAGTTTACGCATTACTTTTCACTGATAAGAAGACAAGCGGATTATATATTGGACGAAATTTGATAAAAAAAATTATCCATTGCATCATTGAAGAAACTGAACTTTTCTTTCCGTCTTCAGAAAAGCAATCACGTTAGGCAAGCAAAAGATGAAGCAAAAGGTAAGTAGGAGGCAAAATTTACTCGACATCATGATGGTTTTATTCGCCAAGACGATTAGTAGGCTAAGTGAGAATTCAGTTACTAAGTGTGCATGTTGTAGAAAAGAACTGACGACGGTGGTTTTTTTTGTCAGTATAGTTTTATCATCCACTTCACTCCTTCAATTCTTTTTTTGTATTTTGCTCAGTAATAACACACTTTTCCTCACCCTAAGGAATCTGTTTTTGAAATTGCTTCCATGCAGTCGTTTTTCTATTCTACGCGCGTCAAAGCTTCTTTGTTTTCGTGTTGTCTTTAAGTACTTTAACAACTGGAATACCCTTCATACAACACCTATCAAAATGATAACCTTTAGAGCGAAGAGATAGTCAAGGTCTTAGCATGGTGCAATTTCTAATTAATTTGTCAATATAGTAGCTGCAAAAATTCAATTGGAGATGACAGTAGAGCTTATATGCGTGTAAACTTTACGACGCAGGAAAGCCGTCTTAAAGGTGTCCAGAAACATGTCGCCGCGATATTCATTCTCTGGGTTCTGGGTTCGAATATGCCAGGGTCGTCAGGTAAGGCAATCAATTGATTATGTGTAGATCAGGACAGCCAAGTCTTTCATATTTATGATTAAGTCAAGGAGAGAGAGGTAACCCTGGGGTATTTGATTTCGGTAAGAAACTTTTTAAAGTATGGAAGATAAGGTATATTTTCCATAATGGCACAATGTTTCTCTTCTTACTTCCCCCCTCTTTCCCTCAGAGCATCACAATCCACTTCATGAAATTTTCAGGTGCCACTTTTTACAACGATTTTCAAGACTGTAATGGAACGAAGTGGAAAAATACCTTTCCTGACCTGGATTTTGCACTTCTTGGCTACGACATCCTGCACGGTGATCCCAATGCCGAATGCGATCCAGGGTTTAAGCACCCAATATTCAGGGCTGACTATTCTGAACTTAGACAAAGTGCGGATTGTCGTTACAGCATCCCAGTGGGTCTGACAGCGTACCCATGTCAATCTTGCTTGGTGTCATTTGAATCTAAACTTGTCCGAAACAAGCAAGAAATGTCAAAACTCCTTGGAGGTGCAGCAAAGGTGGAAGGTAAACGGGAACTTAAATTTGAATTGCGAGATTACTCCCTGAATTCCTTGCATAAGACCCAATTGTTTTTCATAATGATTAATTACCAAACTATCTCAGCGAGCGCACTGAAGCTTGATAGACTGCGGTGTTTGTAACATACAATAGGAACTAAAAACGTTTTTAGAGAAAGCACTAGGTAACAATAAGGGTGGAAATAAACGTAAATGTCGCGATATTCCAGTTTCGTTTTGAGGGTCTCTGTAACTCGGACTTGTTATACTTTAGGAAAGCCGCGCCTTAGATATTTGATGATGTCTCAAATAACCCAGATGGAAGTCTGCCAATTATTTAGCGTCTTCCCATTGACGGACTGACGTTAAATCCAAGATTAAGAAGAGTTAGCCATGGTCGATTAATAGGCAACAGTATTTAGAGCATCATGCCGTCTTTGATTTCAATCACTTAGGAGGAGGCTGGGGATTTCAATTCTCTGCTAGTGCAAGCTACAGGAGAGATGTAGCTGAAATGTCGTCTGGAGAGTATATGCGTGTTATTTCCAGTGCACATTGTCAGCACTATCGCAGTAAGATTGACCTCACGAGACCTCCGCCGTTTCATCCCGGTTTCATTGAGTGGGCGACAAAACTAGCTGATCCGCGGACTTCAGATGGAGATGTGTTACAGTTCGTCAAATACTACGGAACTCATTTCTTCTCAGACGTCACGTTTGGTGCAAAGTTTATCCAAAGCCACAAGGTAACTCAGGGGGCTCTAACGACCCTGAAGAAATCATCCTTCAGCGTTGAAGCCCAGGCGAGCTACTCAGGTTTATTCAGCATCGGAGGAGGATTTTCCATGAACAGCGATCAAAGAAACGCTGCGTCAAACTTTTTGAAAAATGTACAAACCACAACCATCACCGTTGGGTCTTCCCCACCCAGCAATGGAGACGCAATGACTTGGGCAGCGTCAGTTCAATCGAACCCTGTTCCAACCAAGTACACTCTTACGGGAATAGAGAATCTCTTTACTGATCATTTTACCAGACATCTTTCTCCCGAGGTTAACTACGGTAGTTTGAAGATGAAATTGGTGAGTGCTGCCTATAAATACTGCCAAGTTTTAAAAATGCAAGGGAAAGTCTCTTCGTGTGAGAACAACTACAACGTTGAAGGAACTGATATTGGATTTACACGTAAAGGTGCAGAAACGTCTTTGCTGTTTTAAATCCACGTTACCACTCCCTTTTAATCTTCACTTCTCTTTTTATCGTTAAATTCAGGTTGCCTTTTTTCCTACGCACCACAAACTATTAATTCAGTAATTATGCGTCGAACGAATTAAGAGTACAGTCTCTTACAACACTTCAAATACTTTTTCCTATTGAAATTATTAAAACTTGCAGACAATTTCTGTGACTCGCAAGTCAATTCATTCATTTGCAACAG